ACAAATACCCTGTACATGAACCTGAACCTGAATCAACCTTACCTTCTAAAACTCCCATTCCAGACCCTATGCCTCCACCTGCACCTTCATCTGAGATGATTGTTCCCACTTCCAATCCATCATCATCTGGTATATCTTGTGCCCAAGTTTCTTTTCTGTATCATAATTTATCTTATGGTTTCAAACTGAAAGATTTTTATGATAGAGTTGAACCTTCTGAACCCCTGAAACCTCTGAAACCAAAACTCAGACAGGCCCTTCCATCTACAATCCTTTCATATATTCAATCTATGAACAATGAAGGATCCTTAGCAACCATATCTGCTACATCTGGTAAAGCTGCTGTTTCAGCTCTGCAACCTGCATCTGATAACACAGTTGCATCTGATAAACCATCAACCTCTGCCTTCATACCATACTCTTCTGAAACCTTTGATGTTGTTTACCCACGCACAAGACCACAACCAACTCTGCTTAATGCTTTAAACAGATCCTTACCACAAAAACCAGAGATTCCTTTCATTCCATATTATCCCCCTCCTCTGATTTCCATCCCAAAATCACTGATTCCACCAACTCCCAAACCTAAACACATGACTCTGGAAACCTTGCTTAAACCACCACCCAGACTTAATATTGATCATTTATTTCAAACGTTTTTGCAAGAAATACAGATGTCTTTAGGTACTGTTCAGAAAAGATGCTCTGAAACTATGGATGCAAATGAAACTGACATCATCTGGAAAGGATTTATCAATAGATTCAACACTGTAGCTTCCAATCTGAAGAACATCTGTTCTGATGATGCAAAGCTCAGAGCTGAAAGAACTCAATTATGGATTGTCAATAAAACTGAACCTCTGCTTTGTTTGGATGCTCCTCCTCCTCCAACAAAACCAACTGCCAATGCATTGACTATGACTCTGGTAGAACCCTCTTCAGGATCTCCAGAACCTATGGCAATTGACTCTATTCAGGCTGCAGAACCTCCACCTTCTTCATCAGAGATAAAGACAGAACATCCAGATTTTGGAGACAAGATTGCTGCTCTGGAGGTTGGTCAATCTGAAATAAAATCTTGGATGGCGAAGTAAGACAAGAAATCTGAGGACATGTCAGAATGGATGTCAAAACAAGATGAGAAGAATGAGACAATGACTAAGTGGATGTCAAAGCAAGAGCAATCTTCATCTGAGATCACAGACCTATTGAAGATGCTTTTGTCAAAACACTCTTAGATTTTTTTTCATTCTACTGTTTGTGCATCTGTTGTTTTGCATCTGAATTTTACTGTTATATCTTCTGATATTTACCTATGTACTCTTGCTCTGTTATTTTAAATGAATCAGTGTTTCTCCATTGAATTATCTATTTATTATTCCTTCTATTTGTCTTTATTAAAAGCTTTTACTTTTTGCTTATGACAAAAAAGGGGGAGAAAATAAAGACCTGAACTGTTTAATATAATTTCACTAGAATGAATCTTCAGACATATCTATTCTTTCTAATATCTAAATTGACTATTTCAGATCATTTGATAAGAACACTCTATAAAAGAATCTCTGAGTCTCTCAGATCATTTATCTTTTATCAACTCTGAATCTTATATCTGCAAGATATTCTGACCCTAAATTGTTATAAGAACAAACAAGATCTGACTCTGAAGATTACTCAAGATAAAAAGGGAAGTTTCTATTCCTTTTTCATATTTAACTCAGGGGGAGATTCATCATCTCAGGGGGAGTTATAATTCTTTATGTTCAGTTAAATAAAATTTCTGATACTTTTTGTCATCATCAAAAAGGGGGAGATTGTTAGAACACAGATTGGTTCTTAATAATAACTCTTTTTTTTGATGATAACTGTTAGGAAATTTATATTTAAGAATTATATACTCTAAAATTTGTTTGAGAGTTTTACTACAGATTGAAATAATATTAACTCTCTAGAAGCAAATCTGCCTTGAATACAAGAAGTTATTCTGACTCTGAAGCGCCAGATGCATCTTACAGAAGAATCTGTTTGCTCCTTACAGAAGATCTTGAGCGTAGTCTCCAGAAGGATCTGAAGCAAGAAGCTCCAGAACATTCTGAGTCAGAAGCATCTGAAGATAATCAGAAGCATCTGAAGCTGAAGCATCTGAAGCATAGAAGAATATTGATTGAAGAGTTTCTCAAAGCATTAGTCTACAGAAGTTTCTGAAAGTACCTACGTTGCCTTGTACTGAAGCTCTGTGTCAAAAATGCTCTGATGATCAACACGCTGAAAGCACACATGCTGCAGAAGACTCTGATACAGCATAGTTCTGAATCTTATTAGAAGACTCTGATCCATTCAGACTCTGAAGAACTTGCTGAAAACTGAAGAAGTGATTTTCAAGAATATATCCGTTGGAGTTATTCAACGTCTCTTTCCTTATTTGTGCTAGACACACTTACACAGACAAAAAGGATTTTTCTGTGTCATCTACTTCAAGGAAAGGTCACTTGATGTGAAGACAAAAAGGCTCAGACCTTTTTGGGACTCTCTTTTCAACGTTCAGCTTGCTTGGATCAGCTGCCTATAAAAGGAGAACTTCACCACATTCTTCAGTTACACACCTTGCTAAAAAGAAATCATTATATTCTAAGCTCTCATTCATTCTTATTCTTCTTAGAATTTCTTGTACTTAAACTTAAGAGAAAAATCACTGTTGTGATAAAAGCTTTATAGAAGCATTAATACTCTTGTATTTAATTTACATTGATTGTAAAGGATATTCCTTAAGAGGATTCAGTTAGAATCAGTAGCTCTTGAGAAGACTAAGAACTCTTGTTCTTAGGTGATACTATTGTAATCAGTTTGATTTAATAGTGGATTAAGTCCTTGTTGAGAAAGGCAAATCACTCTAGGAAGGGTGGACTGGAGTAGTTGTTAAACGAACCAGGATAAAAATAATTGTGTGATTATTTTTTAAGTCTTAATTTATCATACTTATTCAACCCCCCCCCCCCCCCCCCCTTCTAAGTATTATCTCACCTTCAGTTGGCATCAGAGCTCCGGTTCTGAGTGTGCTATCACTTAACAGTGTCAGTAAAGATCCAGAGAGATATACTTTGATATATATATTTATTTGTTATCATGGTTGATAATTCAATGTCAAATATTAACAATAAATATGAAGAGAGGGATAGGATCAGCACCAAACCCCCAATGTTTGATGGGGAGAAATTTGACTACTGGAAAGACAGAATTGAGAGTTTTTTCCTAGGATATGATGCTGATCTATGGGATCTTGTCATAGATGGATATGTACATCCCACAGATGGGGATGGCAAAAAGATTGACAGAAAATCTATGACAGATTCTCAGAAGAAAGACTTCAGAAATCACCATAAAGCCAGGACCATATTACTGAATGCTATTTCACATACAGAGTATGAGAAAATTACAAACAGAAAGACTGCTTTTGATATGTTTGAATCCCTAAAAATGACACATGAGGGAAATTCTCGTGATTAAAAAAATTTAATCATAAATTAAAATAAAACTAAACGCACATTATGATCAACAAATCATACATTATGATCAATATTTAATCATAGATTTAAATTAAGAAATAATCCCAAATTTAAATCAACAATAAAGTTAGCATCGAAATTAACACTAAACTAAAAAAAAAACCAACTCTTCCTCACCAATTAATTTACCATCTAATGTAAAAATTAATTTAGACTAAAGTTTAATCAATAACAAAATCTAAAGCGATCAAGATTAAAGTAAACCTAATGAAGATAAAAGAAAAAAACGGGTGGATGCAAGAAGAAAAGGGGTGCACCGAAAAGAAACAGAAACATTGGGCAAAGCCCAATACCACAACACGGAAATAAAAAAACAAAATGAAAAATGTGGGCCGGGTTTCTTGCTAACCCGTTCGACCCAATCAACAACCATATGAGTTTTTCACCAAAAGAAAAAAAAGTTTCAAACACTTTCACTCAGGTCTCATTTCCTCTCTCTCATCTACCTCACACCAAAACTCTTGCGTCTCATTCTCTCTCGTACGTTTCCTGCTCGCAGCTTCTTGTCTCCAATCGCGGCCTAAAAATGGTGTAGTTCGTTGCGCCGTGGCATACTGGTTGGCAACGGCGGGATGAATTTCAATACCTGCTCATCTTCCTCTCTCGTTTCAGTTAACGGTGAAATTAAATAAAAACATCATAACAAGGGGAATCAGATAAAGGCTTACCTCAAAATTAGGTTAAAGGTATGTATTCGACTCTTTTCGACGTTGCGACTTCTCGTTCTTATCGATTTTGAAGTCGTCCGCTCCGCGTGTGATGTTGTGATATCTTTTGCTATACGTTCCTGTGTATGAATGGTGCTTGTGATGCCGTGAATTTTCTTTACTGTAATACTGCTGCTATTCTTCTTTCTTCCTTAATTGTTATGCTTGTTGTTATGTACTGTTATACGGTGAATTTACTCCTTTGCTGTGAACTGGGTGATTTGTGAATTTTGTAACTATCAGACCTTCTCTCTATTTTCAATTCTTTTGCGTGTGAAAAATGACGTCCTCATTGTGAATGCTCCGCCTCCCTTTAATAAACTCAAAACTATATTAAATGAGTGTAAATGGCATGTTGAAACTCTGTTTGGAAAGAAAAACTACTTGTTGGAACATGATTTCTTGGTGATAAAATTATTTCTGTTTTTGATTCAACATGTTTGGGATATGTTTCGGGAATTCTGATTTGGTTATAAATGTGTTTCTGTTTTCTACTCGACATGTTTTGCTTGTGTCTAGAGTTGTTTTTGGAAAGATTTTGAAATGGTCTTGATTGTTTGCAACATGATTAAATGAATGGGTTGATTATGTTTATGGAATATTGTGGGTATGTCTGAGACATATTTATCTCTTTTTGATGCGGCTCTTCTTTTACACGATGCATCTTGTATCATGCTTCTTTTGTTTCACTTGCTGCAGTTTCCAACGCGTCAATAATCTCTCCAATTGTGTCATGGCAGCAACATTTATCTACAATTTCAAGCCAGGGATTGAAGTTCCTGCCCCACCACCCATGGTAATGCCATTCAGAAGAGCTACATGTGGCTTCAAATATGTACCTACCAGGTATGTAAAACTATATACTGTTCTAGCCATTTATGTTCCCTTCATTTGTAAAACGGTAAAGCACGACAAAATATCTACTAGTTGCAAATGCCCGGCCACTGCCCTTGAGCATGACAAAACTAATATTAGGGCTATCTTCCTAACTCGTATAAAGTTTATGCAGTCTTGCAGCCATAGATGCGTTGATGGCATTGAGAGCGGAGGGTCTGTTAAGAAGGTCGAGTATGGAGAAACCATTTTCTTCAACCGAAACGTTGTAGTGTTGATCAACGGAGGAAGCGGGGTTTCGACTTAGCTGTCGCCGTTGGTGGTGGTGATTTTTGTTTTGTTGTTACCTCCGAAATGTGGTTTTTCTCTGTTGTACTGACATCCTAATTCATCTATTGCTTCCTTACTTTTGTGGTGATGATGTTTCGTTTGCAGCAAATGAGGTTATTTCCAATTTTAAGCTATTGACTTCGGGTGTTTCTTTTTTTGTAGAATTTCCTGAGGAGTGCAACTAAATCCGTCTTTGCTAAATCCTATCCCAAAGCCTTTATCTGAAAATCCTGCATAAATAGACTCATTATAGCCTTTGGCAACAATTAGGATGTACCTTTGTGTCTGAGTAGTGTGCAAGGATATGTTGGCCAATTCGTCTTTGCCAATTCCTATCCTAAAGCCTTTATCTGAAAATCCTGCATAAACAAACTCATTATAGCCTTTGGCAACAATTGGGATGTACCTTGAGTCTGAGTAGTGTGTAAGGATATGTAGGCGCTTGAACTGATGGAAGCTCATATATAGGACAATTCATTTCACTATATGGTTTTCTTTGAATTTGTCCAAACACAATTGTAGATTGAGGATGAGATCCGACAATGAAGAATTGATTAGAATTAGGCATGGCAAAAAAACACGGACCCGTCGAGACCCGCCCCGAAATTAGCGGGGAAAACTCGGTTTGAGTGGGTGCGGGTGCGGGGAAAACCCGACTTTTAATTACGGGTGCGGGTACGGGTGCGGGGAGACACTAAGACCCGTCCGCCCCCGGCCCCGCCCTCGAATAATGCATTTTAGTTTAATTCTCTTATTTTAATTATTTTAATATTTATTTATTAATTATATTTTTAATTAAATTATTAATACCTTTATTGCAATTAAAATAATTAAATTAATCAAATTAATATTCATTTACTAATTAAAATTTTAATTAATTAATTAATTTATTAAAATAATCATTTTTTAAATTAAATTATTAATTTTTATTGCAATTAAAAATAAATTAATTTTTTTTGGGTGGGGGTAGGGCAGGTGCGGGTGCACCCAATCTCTATTGGAGGCGGGTCTGGGCGGTAAATTTTTACTTACGATTGGGTTTGGGGGTGGGGGCGGGTGTGTTACATGGAGGCGGGTGCAGGTGCGTGTATAGTAAAATCCGCCCCCGACCCGCCCCGTTGCCATCTCTAATTAGAATTTAAAAAGTGGAAGTTGGTTTAGCTTTAAATTTTATATTCTCTTGTAATTTTGACGCATGAACACTTGAATATTGTAATGGTTCATGATTTCTTGAGGTGAGGTTTCCAATTTGAAATCGAAGCATGGAAAGGATATTGAGACTCTTCATGTACTTTGGACTTTTAGAATTGGTTTTAACTCGCAATTCTTTGAAAATGTGAATCTTATGCTTTGCATGAGAATGAATCCAACTCTGGTGTAATTTGAACTTTTATACTTTTTGCATCAATTTGAATTCGTGAATTTCTTGAAAGTGTTTTTTTAATCCCATGATAACTTAGCTTTGAGTTTCAACTTGAATCTTTAAAAAACCATGAATTTTGCACCTTAAATCTTGGAAGTAAAACTTGATGCAAATCTTATAAAAATATCCTTGCTCTTTGTATCTCGAATTGAATTGTGAAATAATATTAATTTGAATTCTATGCTTAAGCTTGTGATGAATCCTCGTATTCTTGGAATCATCTTGAACTTGGCCTAAAATTATGAACTTTCAACTTGAACTTCTTTGAATTTTAGTAATGAGAATGATATGATCTTATGACAGACTTTAAATCTTGAATGTGAAAAAGGGTCTTGAACTCTTTGTGCTTAGACTTGTAAATTTGAATTTGAAAAGACACATTGAACTTTATAACCGTGAGGAGCTCTTAACAATGGCAAAAACTCTTCAAGGAGTAATACTCCCAAGACAACACCATATTGCAACCAAACTTGAAATTCTAAAGTCCAAATCATGATGTAACAAGATCCCAACAAACTCGGGTTTGAGATCAATGACTTAGTTCTCAAATCTCTATGCTCAAATCAATAGGAAAACAACCTAACACTCCCTGAATATTTATTGAAGCTTTTGAGGAAACTTGAGGGAATTGACCCAATAGAAAAACTCTGGGATTTCTTTGAATCAGAAACAACTAGTCATATCTCGAGGTACTTGTGAGAATGAGTATTCACTTGCGTCCAGTGCACTTGGCTGATGGTACACTCAATACTCGATCGACTAACTCTTGAGGCCCCTTTTGAAGCAAATCCCTAATTCAAATAGTGAACAAACAGAAATAATAAAGCATAACGATTTGGTTTGCCATGCAGGTATGATTGATCTAGAAATGTTATGCAAGTTGATGAACAAAGAGGTGGCATCTTAGGGTAAAAAATTAGGGTGTGACACCTGTCAGTTAACATACCGAATCCTTTTGGGTTAAACACCTTCTCATGATTTAACACCATTTTCGTTGGTTAACCATTGCCTGTCAGTTAAAAGACCAATCAACACATTTCCTTCGGTTAATCACTATTTATCAGTTACAATATCAATTTTTAATGGGTTAATCACCTTTTGGTTAAAACATCCATTTCTTAGGTTAATCGACGTTCTTCGGTTAAAAGACCATTTTTCTCCCTTTTGGGTTAAACTCCTTCTCTTGGTTCAATACCCTTTCCTTTGGTTAACCACTGCTTATCATTTAACATACTGAATCCTTTTGGGTTAAACACCTTCTCTTGGTTCAATACTCTTTCCTTTGGTTAACCACTTTCTGTCGGTTAACATGCCAAATCCTTTTGGGTTAAACATATTCTCATAGTTTAACACCCCTTTCGTTAGTTAACCACTATCTGTCAGTTAAAAAACCAATCTTCCTTTACTTCGGTTAATCACTGCCCGTTAGTTAAGATACCAAATCCCCAACGGGTCAAACACCTCCTTTTAGTAAAGACCAACTACCTTTTCTTCGGTTAATCACTGCGTATCATTTAAAAGACCGTTTCTTTCCTATTTTCTTTGTTAACCACTGCCAGTTAGTTAAAAGACCATTTACCAATTATTTTCTTTTCCACAGAAGAGACCAACAAGAGACCAACATCACATTTCCTTGGGTTAATCACCGAGTCTCGGTTAAAACACCCTTGCTCTTACCCCTTGTCCTTGCTTCTTTCTCTTTGTTTTGACACCATTTCCTTACTTCTCTCTCTTGGTTTTGACACCACTTCCTTGCTTTTTTCTCTTGGTTTTGACACCACTTCCTTGCTTTTTTCTCTTGGTTTTGACACCATTTCCTTACTTCTTTCTCTTGGTTTTGACATCACTTCCTTATCTCAATTGGTTTTGACACCACTTCCTTATCTCTCTTGGTTTTGACACCATTTTCTTATCTCTCTTGATTTTGACACCACTTCCTTATCTCTCTTGGTTTTGACACTATAGCACCCCTTTCTATACCCCCAAATAAACACATAAATCATTTAGGCACATATTTTCATCAGAGTATAATTAAAAACATGGTATAAAAGAGCATGTCACATTATCGTGAAATTAAAACATACAACACCTGCTCATTTAAAGATATGCAACAATGGGGTAACTTCAACAGAGGAACTTAGTCCTTACACCCACATCTCAACATTTAGAATAAAAGCGGAAAATCTAAACATTGAACATCATCAAACATGTATACATATATCATCCGGTTTGATTCACATCATCATTCATGTTTTCATAACCATTCATCAGCAGATACATATACAAATGTATCACAAAAGAATTCTATACAATCCTAGCTACCCGGTGCTACATATCAAAGCCAACCGACCAAAAAGAATGAAGCCACGCTTCACAAAAGACCTCCAACAAACCTATTCTGCAATGCCTCATAGAGCATCATAAAATAGCAGAAGGGTGAGAAATATTATCATAATAATCAATGCATATAATTATATATCTATATACAATCATAGAATACACATATTCAACATTCTCACCACATTCATCAAAATTCAACATATACATCACAGTGTATATACACAAAACTAAGCATATTCATCATTCATGCTTCTACAATTCACATCATTTACACATAAACATTTACAATTATGTTTATTTCACCAATCATAATTATAATGATGATAAATGCAACTCATGGAGACCGACTCACGACTCTATGCAGATGCAAATGCGGTACCGACTCAATCATCTCAAGTTCACTCAAGAACTTATTGGAACCATTGCTCACACCTCTCTTAGGCACACAATGTTCACCCATTACTCACACCCCACATGGGCACACAATGTTATGGATTGCTCACACCCCCACACGGGCACACAATCATTTGCAACCATCACTCACACCTCTCATAGGCACACGATATTCATGGATTTCTCACACCCCAACTGAGCACACAATCTGATTGCAACCATCGCTCACACCCCCGCATGGGCACACGATGTTTACTCATTGCTCACACCCCAACTGTGCACACAATGTTCTACAGATTCTCTTAGGAATCAATCAATACAAGAATGCACATCATTATGCTTCACATGCAAATGACACATGACATTCTCGAAATGCATACATATTCACAAATATACTCATGCATTCTTCACATACAATCACATACAATCAATATGCATTCACTATATCACGCCAAACGGAAACGAACTCCATCACAATCATCATGCATTTTAATCAATTTAAACAATGCATAAATTTTCCAAAAGGCCACATTTCACAATCGATTCCACAATCTAGGATTCACGTCATACGGCTACCCACAACATATCATACAACCGTATACAAGCTACTCATTCAAGAAGAGGTCGATCGCAACCAAACACTGTCACGCTCGCTAGACCACTCGCCTAGCAAGGTCCTAGCGAACATTCGCTACAGGCTCGCCTAGCGAACGAGCTCGCGAAGACAGTCAGAAGCTACTGGAAGTATTCGCCATTGGCTCGCTGGAGCCTCGCCTAACGAACCAC